TCATTTGGGTTTTCAAAGGCACTGCCTGTTATCCTTAAAATATACTGGCCTGCACAGGCCTAATAAACAAGGGAAAGAGAATTGGTCTGAGCACGGAGCCTTGTTGGACACCACTCTCTATCACTGTTCCCCTTTGATTGGTGCTGCTTCACGCAGAATATTTGGGAACGGCCGACGAGGAAATTCTTGATCCATTTAGGAGATTTGCCACCGATGCCCATCACCCTCAACTTGTAAAGGCGACGCTAATGTGGAACACTGTCAAACACCCTCCGGAAATCGATTTGGTGTATATGCACAGCGTGTTTTTCATCGAGTGCTCTTGTCCAACTTTGCATAATGTATAGAAAGTTCGTTACACACGATCTTCCCCTGCGAAAGCCGTATTGCGCATTGGACAGGAGGTTATGGGTTTCCAAATAAGTCATTAACTCTCTTTTGACGATTTTTTCCATGACTTGGCAGCAGATTGGTGCCAGGCTGACGGGCCCGAAGATCATCGCAAGAGCACGATTAAAGATTTTGTACAGAGGGGTAATGTGGGCCATCTTCCAGTCTGCGGGAAGGATTTCAGCATCAAACGATGCCTGGCACAGAAAGCGAGGTGGTTTAACCAACTCGCAGGAAAGTTCAGAGGGCAGTTTTGCAGGGATTTTGTACTCCAGGGAGATTCATACTCCTTAAAGCTCTTTCATTCTTGGAGAAGCGCTTCTTCATAAAATACAATATTTTCAAAAATCGGACCGCCCATGCTCTCAGAAGTAGGCGGAATGAAACTTCTTCCTTTCTGAAAACAGATTGGAAGAACTCACAAAAATGCTCAGCTTCATTTGTGCTGTCCGATATGTCCAAATTGTTATCATCCCTCATGACAGGAATCTGATTCTTGTTAAGGGTGCTTTTTCGCAAATAGTTGTAGAGCAATTTTTAATTTTTTTACGGCTCGGTGGAGTAAATTGCCTTTAAAATCACGCCTTTTCTTCAAAATTAGGCCCTTCACAATTTTTCCTTTGGACTTTATATTCTGTAAAGACCGAATTATTAGTCTTTTTACGAAACCTCTTCCACAGCCTTTCTTTCTTGTTGATCTGCTTCTTGAGATCTTGTGTCAGCCACCTGGGTCGTTTAGATGCCCTAGGTTTTGCTGAGGGACAGTGGCTGTTTATTCGATGTAATAACCAACCCTTAAATAAATTCCAGTCCTCGTTGACGTTCCGGAGAAGAGGAGATCCCAGTCTATTTGTGATGCTTCAGCTCTTATTTGGCAAAAACCCTTGACATATATTTCGCCTGGTTTCAGTTATCGTATGCGGTGCAGAATGTATTTCATAATCCCATAGAAGAACTGCATGATCACTTTGTTCGAGCGGAAGCAGACAGTACACCTCGTTTATACTGTCAGGATTTTCGGTAAAGATGAAATACAAACGAATACCCTGTTGCCCACCACGCGCTCTAGTTACAAACAGAACATGCTGTGTGGGAAAAGCTTCTGGTGTTGTCTTTATGAGTGGGTAATCGAAGGTATACTTCGGTCACTTCGCATGCATATCGCTCAATTGAATGCAGGGTGCATTAAATTTCCCCGTGAGTACAACGTCTGGTCGACTACCGATCTCTTTGATGCTTTCCAGCAGACAAGTATCTTAGTCTGGGTCCGTCCGTGGTGGTCGGTAGATTGTTGCGAATTCGAGGGACTGCAACCTTCGTGTCTTTATTGTCAGCCAAATGGCTTATGTGTCGTCGGAAATCTTGTCAGTCCTCGCAAATACCGTTAAGTCTCTCTTAGCATAAGTGGCAACCCCTCCGCCCTGGCGATCCCTCTTGTCTCTCCTAAACAGTTAATATCCTGATAAGACCACCTCGTAATCATTCAAGTTCTGTGAGAGCCACGTTTTTGTTATTTTTTAACGTCCGGAGACGAATCGGCTACCTGTATTCTCAATTTGTCGGGCTTTGAAAACAGACTCTGAGCAATGGTATAAAAGAATTCCAGTCCGCAACGTTCAATAGCGTTTAGTGCGGTTTAACTCAAGTTTGCAAGTACTACGTTGCCGCCGCCATTATGACCACCGTTTGGCTCCAGAGCAACGCCGCGCTCCTTCGTATCACTCGTCTTCTGAAAATAGCCAAGTTGCTCTCTTCCGCTGCAAGTCTCCTGTTCAGCTCCGTAGCTAACTCGCGGCGTTTCGGACGTTCCGCTGGAGAGTAGTCCGGCCGAAAAAACCGCCCTGTGAGAGTTTTGGTGACTGCTTTTCCAGGAGAGAAGTAGACTAGCCTCTTCTTTACTGCCCAAAACAATTTTAAGAGGTCGCGTTCGCACGTTTTCCGTTTGTTCGCTGTTTTTACTGATCCTGAAGACTGCGCGAATGGTCACTTTTTCATCCGGATTAAGCAACTATCGAAACATGTCAAGGTCAGCGGAAATCCTTTCCTTCGGAGTAGAAACATTCGAGTCCGATAGGCCGTGGACGACTACTCAGTTCTAGCGATCGAGGGGTTTCATTGTTTTAGTTCCAGTCGTACAGTCGGTTTAAGGTTCCGAGAGATCCACCAAAGTCGTTTTAGGCTTCATACTCTTGTTGTATTGCCTACCTACTCCAATTTGTCACGAGTTTGGCCCTCCACTTTCAATTAGGGGTTCTGTTGTACACACGAAATGGCCGAGAGAAGTCGACGTTTCGCTTCGGTTGTCTTCTAGACAAATAAGAGGCTGCGTGCTGGTCGTCAGGACGATCTACGACGACTGCGGCTGGACGGATCATTGCGTCGTCATCGCCAAAATGAGGCTTCGACTGTAAATTTGCAGAATTCGAATTTGTCTGTTCATCACTTCAATTACACCAATCAACTTGACCAACGTCCAGATGAACTACATGCTCCCTATGATAACACCACAGTTGTGCCGTGTGTGTAGCACAGTCCACTCCAGCGCCGTGAACGCTTTATCCTGTGGACGTCACCGAAACCTCGACTGGTTTGAGGAGTATAAGTCACATATCTGTTCGTCGAGAAGAAAAGGCCACATAATGTCAACATCAGCCGCAGTAATTATGCACACAAAGTTGCCTTCTTCAGGTGCCATCACCCGGTTCAACCACGACTGTGGAGATGCAGAGTTATTGAATGGTTCGCAATTTTAAGGAAAGGCATAAATACGCGGCTGATAATGAAATGAAACATTTATCTGCCTCCATCAAGCCAGCTTATGGTCCCCACACCGAAGCAGCTGTTGCTCAGCTCCTACGGAACAACATTACTCACAGAAAAATCGCAGATTCTCTAGCGCTAGGTAAACACTTTATAACGTCGATAACCGCCCATGCGAGATCCTTTTTACGCCGCCATTAATCAGCTCTTCCAGAAGAAAACTGATACCAACCTATTGCAAAAGACTGACTTTTACAGCATGACTACTTACAGCCAGATATGTAACACGATTTATTATACTCAATCTTTCGTTCTGACTCGCAGTGAGCAGATGCGCTGCCTTATTATTAATGTACTGTGAACCGACCATATTCCAAATGTTCACAACTTTATTTTGAATGCGAATATGCGAAATCATTTTTAAATAAATTGGGTTATCAAGGGCTCCGACTCCAATCCTTCAAATACATACATACATAAAGGTTCGACCGTCGTTGCCGACGATGTCCACCATGTGCTCCACTAAAAGGTGAAGCAGACAAGGTGACTTGCACGTGAATTAGTTTATAGTGATAGTAGACTTTCGCATCATCTACCGCACTCAGTCCTCCCCACTCCCCACTGGGACCCGGTGTCAAGGCAGGGTCAAGAAAACCGAAGGGAAGAAGGGCGCATGTGGAGGCGTGGTCAAGCCCACACCTTGGCGTTCCACTTCGCACCACCTGGTCCACACAGCAAATAACCAGGCTTTGACCAACAACAACAAAATTCCAACAGGGGTCAAAAGGGCGATGATGACTGGGCAGCCATGCCCACCACATCTATACCCATCGGGAAATTAAGTTCATCTATCTTCAAGGAACCAGGTGCCAGGGAACCGCTGGTTTTAAATTTAAAGATAAGTGGAGGATATTATTTTTAGTGGTTTTTCTGTGAGATCTAACGGTTTTAGTGCCTGTTTTTTTGGTTGAATTTCCTTAAATACAGGCCTGTTCTCTAAGAACTGCCCGCTGCCATCTCCTTTCGATTTTTGCTAGTCTACGCCCGCTGTTCACTAATTGCACTTTGCAATTCTCATTTTGTGCATCCGATTTCTCTCTACTGTTGTAATTTATTTTTACATCGTTAGCCCCTAGCTGAAATTCAGTCAACTTGTCTGCCAGAAGTTCTCTTAATCACAAATTGCCTCGAGACAAGATGAGACCAAAAGTCACTGGT